TTTAAGAAGGTCCATAAAATAGCAGTATTATTATCAAGACTTGTCTTCTAGTGAATATTTACAGACATATGTAGTTTAATTCCAGAACCTTGGGTATCTTTGAAACGGAAGTATTCTTACTTGTTTCTGTTTGTCCCATATACTATACTATATTTTCTACTTATTGATGATGTTGTTTGTTTATTCCCATCGCACGACTTATGAAGATGATGATGAACTGTCGTTGCCATTGAGGCAATCACCTGAACCGGTTCAGGGACGTCCTTATCCCAACTTTGCTATGGACCCGACCCCTGCCATTCACATACCATTTCGTTTTTGTCCCAGGGACAACAACTTTCAAGTTCAGATGGAACATTTGGCAGCTAAAGGAACTGGGCCAAGGTCGATTTTTACCGGTAGCCAGAACAAGAAATGGTATGAGAAAAAAAAGCGAAAGATGATCAAAAATAAATGAGAGGTAGAGAAAAACCATTAAAACAGAGACTGGGGGAAACCTTCGCATCATCGTAAATTTCCATTGGGAAGAGGGCAATCGCGATTGAAGGTCGTATTCGCCCCACTCCCCACACTATGTTTACATGGTGTTTATAGCAGGTCTCTCAACTAGCCTTGCTTTAAAGATTTGTAAACGTTGGTTCTCCAAAAAGGCGCCCCTCCCCCACATCGTTCTGCGGTTCGGTTCGTTCCATTCTGTTCCGTTTTTTAGCTTTCGGTTTTGGAGCAACGCGTTAGTAGGCACGTAGGCAGAGACGTCGGCAGAGGCAGAGCAAACGCATCACATGTGAGGGGATTAGAAAAGATCATGGCTAGTTTTAAAGGAGTATCTATTAAGATACTAAAATAAAGAGGCCATACAGTTAAGAGAAACTTTTCTATACTTCTCTTAACAAAACACAAAAAGATACAAGTAAGTAGCTAAGATTTCTGCTATCTTACTTTATAGCACATAACTATAATTAAGCATTCAACTACCCAAGAATTGATGAAAATCGAGAATCTTTATTTAAAAACGGAACCTGAAGAGGTTGCAAGGTTCTTTTCAACTTAGGGTTCAAGTTTTATTTATTAAAATATTACAGTTATCTTAACTTTTTCATGTTAAATATAAGTCCATTTTTTGTTCGTTTTTTGTTTTTAGTTAATAAACATATATTGAATTATTTTAAATATAATTTATACCTTGGTTATTTTTTATTAGGCAACAATCAAAGAAGATCGAGGTTCGTTCATTAAAATGAAAGTCTTAATTTAGATATTAGTCTCGAGTAGGTCATGTGAGTTTTTATAATAATGACAGTGTTACCAAAACTAGGCCATTTTGATATCTTTGATTGATTCCACGAAACCAGTTTGAACTATTTCAAGAGCCCGAATAATCTGTTTAATTGTGGAAAATCTTCTTATTTGTAAACATGTTTACAGCTATGCTAAATGGAAATTTCTGTTTAATTTGTCTTTCATCAAATACAAAAATGAAGCATGAAGCCAACAATGTCTTCACATGGAGTCACGAGTTGGGCTCATGACGTCATGGAGAGTTTTGCCGATCTCGGCGCATTTTTGAGTGGGTAGTATAAGGGGTAGAAGAAATCGAACTTTACCCATGCCAAGAAAAGCCAACAAACAGAAATTGTGGGGGTAAAATGTTTGTGAAAGTGAACTTGAAACGGGCAATGGGAAGTAGATGAATGGGAAATGGGGAAAAATAGGAAAATGGGCGTCGCATTTGACGCTTTTGACGTTGTTGCCATGGCGAATTATAGACCGATTTCTCATGACTTTTGCTCGGACTGTGTGCCACTCGCTGAGTAAATGATTGAATGGATATATGAATTTGAACGGGGCCAATAAGCGGGTATTTTTTTTGAGGGCCTCTGACGTCAGGATCCACCTGTGATTGACGTTCGACAAACGCCTCCGACTATAATTTATCCGCCTATGCCTGTGGCTCCATTCTGTTTGGGAATGCTCTCCACATTAATAAAGAATAAAGGCCTTGAACCCGGCGGAAGCTCACGCCAACGTCACGCTTCTTGCGCTTTGACCTTTGACGCGCAACAGGAGTAAAGCCAGCGTAGGTGTGACGTCACCAAGCCAACGAGTCGACTACATATTACCAGATGCCAGACGAGAGTTACGTCAATGCGCAAACTCGCTCTGCAGAGAAGAAATAGCTATAACTAAGTCGCCTTCCCTCTCGTTCAAGATTTTGCCACACCGCAAACTTTATTTTCCACTTTTTTGTGGTCAAAAGAATAGGATTTAGAAGTTTAATTAATTCTGAGTGAAATATTTTAGATTTCTTGGTATTCATTAGATCATCAAGTTCGGATCAGTATTTCATTAGATCTGCATTGATAAAAATTAAAAGTGGATTAGAATGTCCATCTTTATCTCTGGAACTGGAACAGCTATACCTACCAATGTTGGTATGTAAACTTATCTGATGAAATCTTGAAAATCTAACCAATAATTTTTTCTTATCAGTTTTTTTTAGTGGCCAGGGGACTACGTGCGATTGAGAATGTGCGTGGGCACACGTGAGTTCTGCGAGTCCGGATTTTGCCATCCGAGATAAAGCGGGTGGGCGTGGGATCTCCGTGGGCGAATGCAAGTCAAGGAAACTGAACTTGAACCCGCCGGGGAGCCGAGATGTACAGCTAATTTTAGATCTAACCTGCGGCTGCTGATTGCTTTCAACGTAAGCAATGCATATAAATTCCAGCTTGATGGATTTGCGAGGAGTGGAGGTGGGTGGAGAAACGCAACTGCGGCGCAGTTTGCATTCAAAATCTGGGGGGAGTAAAGTGAAGAGAGAGGTGCGGTAACAGTACATCGGCCCATTTACACGCCCACATTCGCGAGAGAGTGGAGGCCATCGCTTCAGTTCCGCGCAAAATTTACACACGAATTCCGATTCCAATAACAAACACGAAGCGAAAACAAAAACAAAAACGCAAGTACTGCAAACACCCACACGCACACACTCGCACAGATAGGCACGCCACAGTCTGCTGGCTTTTTTTTTATCGCCGCCCCTCGCTCACACTCAGTCAGTCGTCCGCCGAGGCAAAGTATCAACAAATGTTCACGTGAACATCATGAGGTCAACGCGTGATACCAGACGGACCCACACAGACACTCACACACACCGAAAGACACCCAGGCGAGCTCGCTCAGCCAGTAAGAAGGTTATTTGCTATGGGGTCGGCTTGGGGATACCTTTTACAAACTAAATTGTCAGTTGATATATAACGTATATTGAAGAGCTCTTTAATAAAATTGGAATATTCTAAACTTTTACCAAGGAATGTTCATAGTAAGCTCAAAATTAACCTTCGTTGAGCGCCAAAATTTGTTAAATTATTAATATAGAAAGATACTTCCTTTTAACATAAATTGGTGGCAATCTTAAAGGTACTATACAAATAAATAATCATCTTGGTTATACTCGTCCTAATCTGCAGCTAGCTCAACGTTGTAAGCTCAAAATTGTTTAGACCCCTCCTCGTGAACTAGCCTCGTATTATACCCCAGAATACCCTAGATGGCGTGAACAGTCGCCCCACAAGTCTGGTGTGGGGTATGGCGTGCTAGTTATTTGTTGAGGTTGTTGTTGTTTCGCAAGAGAGCAGAGGAGCGCCGCCTTATAATAGTCACAGCTGTTTCTGGTGTTCGCTCTTGCCCGCTCTTCGGTGTGTGTGCTGTGCACGAGCCCCTTTTTGCTTTGAAAACTGTTACAGGCGGTCCAAGTATTGCCAGGTGGAAATTATTGCTTACTAAGCAAGTTTCCAATTAATGAATTGCACAAGTGATCGATTTAATCGTATTCCTTGCGACTTGTAAAAAAATGCTTACATTAAAATGTCTGTATGTCGTGACTCATCTTTGTTATCTCTCCATTACTTGGGACTGGCAATGCCTGTCGCTCAACTGTTGAGCTCCCACATTCTCTTGCTTTCTCGCTCTGCCTTTCGTTTATTAATGAAATCTACGTCTGCTCAAAGTCAGACTTGGCTTTTAAAGTTAATGCAAATTTATTCGGCCAGGTCTTAGACTTCAATTTGAGGGGCGTCTTCCCAGATTTCAAGCCTGTTTTCAAGTTTTTTTTGTTCGATTAATCACAGACTTCCGTGGCAACAACTGCGTCAGCTATTCAGTCACGGCTTTGGGGTGTGTCTGCGAGTGTTTGTGTGCGCTGTGCACGCGGCTTGGGCATGCACAGCCTATGAATAGACGGCCCCATGGAGCCCCTGCCCCTCGCCCGCATGTCCCGCTCTCTCTAGCACCAAAAACAAGACCCCATAGCAAACAGCTGATGACGTCCATGCGTTGGTTACGTGCTCCATTGGTCTGTGTCTGTCGATGTCTGTGTTTCTGCACAGAAAGAAAAATTGATGACCAGAAGGTACCAGAATATTTAATTGATAAGGCTGTACGTATTAAAACAATGTGTTCGTTACATGTTAAGTTGATATTCATACGAGTGTAACAGTATACAGTAAGTATACACCTCAGAAGCAAACTAAAGGGGAGGGTCCTTCTTAAGGATGCTCTATGAATGCAACTATCTAATACACCAAAATACTTATCGAGACCCTCACTAGGTGTTTAATCAGTCACTTTGAACTATCTCATTATGTATTTTTAGCTATTTGATTGTCAACTCTTTTTTGACATCATCCACTAATCATACGAACATTGTCATTGTTAATATCGAGCTGTTTTTTTCTCTGTATGTGTGGGTTGCTCAGAGGCGAGTGAGGAGGAGACCTGACCTTTTTCAAGCCAGAGAGCGAGAGAGAATAAAAGTGGAGAGAGACGCTGCCCACGCTGCTGCTGGGTGATGTCCGTCCGGGTTTCAGTGCACTGGTTGCTCCACTGCCGATGACGATTGCCCCTCACACACACTTGCCCACGTACAAGTGATTACGTCGGCGGTTCCACTCGCGACGTCGGCAGCGGCAGCTCTGCTGGGAGCTGAAAGCCTTTGCCTTTTTCATTCGTCTCTTGAATTCTGAACGCAACGGTTCGCCTCCGCTTCAAAACGGCTTAAGGCACTCGAAAAGCGCCAGTGCAAAATTAACTACAGTGCAAAAATACACAAAACTGAGATTAAACCAAGTGATAAGCCAGAGAGCAACAGAAACAAACTAAAACAGACTCTATAAAAAAAACTCTTTAAAAGAGAGTGCAATTGAAAGTGCAATGGACATGGATACCTTGCTACCTTCACCACCCGCAACGCCCCCGCTGAGGGATAATAAGTTGGAAAACGTAAGTGACCTACAAAGTGGATCTGTACCAGTGCGATTAGTGGTTTTTTATAGTGTGAATAGTGAGGATAGTGCATTCAATTCAAGGCAGCGGAAAATCAAACGGAATCGGACTTTAGCTCGTTCTCGCTTCCACTTGCCGCATTTCTAAAAACAAAAGTGCTACGTCCCGCTCGCACTCGCTCCCAGCCGTCCGATCACGCAGTCAGCACGCGTTCACGTGAACACCGCATGCACAGGGAGTAATATGCGAGTGCGAGCGAGAGGGCCTTAGCCTGAACATTGGACTTGGCACCACTAGGAAAAAACAACAGAAAATACGAAAGAGAGAGAGAGCGAGAGCACAGACTTTGTTTGAGAGCGAAGGTGAGTTGCCAATTGGCAACTGTGGGCTAGAAAGAGAGGGGGCAAGAGCTAGGCAAACAGGCCAAGCCCCAACCCATAAAAATATGTCACATTTCTGGCCTTTTTTTTTATCTGGCCAAGAAAGAAACAAACAAACACAGCCGCACATTTGAGCGCAACGTGCCGAGCCCATAAAAAGATTTCGACGTCTCCACACGAGTCATAATACACCCCTCGAAATCGCCTTCCCCTTCAAATCACCCACCTGAGGCACGTCACAGCAATGTGGCTGCACTTTTCTTTGCCTGCTTTTTGGCGGCACATTTGAATTCTATAGGGTTTTACAACGAACCTATAATAGAGTCTAAAAATTGCCTTAAAAGCTAGAAAAAATGTTGTTTTCAAGTAAAAGATAAAAAAAAAACGAACTTTGCAGGTTTTGATTCATTACCTTGACAAAAAAAAATGTAAAAAATATATAATTACAAATATATGTATGTATAACATCAAATTAATGATTACTAAGGTTTCGGAAAGTTATAATTTAAAACACAGCCGGTACCGAGTCGACATTTAATGAATCATTATTTGTCCCCCTAATCGGCCTTTAAAACAGTTCAAAAACCGCCAAAAAACAATGCCTTGGCCTTTTGAAGGAGCATTGAACCGAGGGGTTGGTTGGGGTGCTGCAGGGTGTGCGAAGGTTAATGTTAACGGTGAACGGCCTTGCCAGTCGTCTGAGTAATTAGCGAATCGCGAGGGAAAAGTTATTGTGGGTCAATGCTGGTCAGCGAAAAGTGAATGGGAATGTGAATGTGAATGCACTCCTGAAAACCTGAACTCAATGCTGTTGAACTCTCACTAACCTTGAACTTGTTCTTCTTTTGTCCTCTTCAGGTCGCTAAGGACGAGCAACAAGTGAGCGAGAACCTGCTCAAGGCCAAACTCAAGCTGGTGGCCCAAAAAAGCCAGAAGAATGGAGGGATTATCACACCCAATCCCTCGGACACGGAAGACGAGGCTCCGGAAATGGGAGTTCCCAACAAGAAACCCCGCCTGGAGCAGCCTGCCATCACAATGACACCGCCACCGGATCAGAAGCTGGAAAGGGTTAGCGTCATCATGAGGGTCAACAGTTTGGGGGCCGTCTCCACCAGCAACCAAGACGAGAACTCATCCAGTTCTAGCTCCAGCTCCTGTTGCTCCAGTTCCTCCTTAAACTCCTCCACCATGAGTACAATTTCGGTTCCACCCACCGTGGAAGACGACTATCCAGAGGCCAATGTGTGGCGCAATCTCAAGTTCAAGATGAACAGGAAGCGAGCTGCGGAAGTGGCTCTGACCCCAGTACAAAAGCCCGAGGCCGAAACACCAGCTCCATCTGCTCCAGCGGAAAAGCCACAGGAGGTGGACGAAATCAAACCATTTGTGACTCCTACTCCAGTCTATGTGGCCCCAGTGGCTGCTGCTCCAGTAGCCAGCCAGCTCATCCTGCTCAGCACGGTGGCTGCCCAACAGAGTCCCACGCCCATACCCACCATACCCACCACACCCACAATGGCCGAGGAAAAGCACTCCACCAGAATCACTGCAGCTCAGGCGGCGGCCACCAGAAGTCGCATCTACGAGTGCAGTTTCCCCGAATGCGGCAAGAACTACTTCAAGAGCAGCCACCTGAAGGCCCACCAAAGGGTGCACACCGGCGAACGACCCTTCATCTGCAAGTGGGAGAACTGCGACAAGAGATTCTCCCGCTCCGACGAGCTGTCGCGACACAAACGCACCCACACCGGCGAAAAGAAGTTCCAGTGCAGCGTATGCCAAAAGAAGTTCATGAGGAGCGATCACCTGTCCAAGCATGTGAAGCGGCACAACAAGGACAAGGCAAACGGTGTGAACCGGCATGTCTCGCTGAACAGCAACAGCTCCTCCTCCTCCTCCTCTGCAGGAGCTCCTTCCGTCTGCGATGCCACGCTCCATTTGCGGGCGATAGCACCGGCCGCCGCCAGTACCACCAGCTGCTCGCCCATCTCATCCGCCAGTTTGCAAGTCTACAGCGCCCAGGATCTGCTTAGGTTGCAGCAGCAGGCCAACAGCTTCAGCTTCGGCGGAACCCTGATCCAGGTGCAGCGATGATGAAGACTGGAGGAACTGCAGCACCAGAACTAATCTCAGCCCGACAGTATCGCCAGCTCAATGGAGAAAAAACCCTTCTTTAAACTAGTGAAAAGATTTCTAAAATCCTATGGAAAGACCACACTTTAAGATCGAATTTTCCCGCATCGAGAATGTTCCCTCTAATCTTAGAATTCAAAATATTATTTTGAAGTTTTTTCACTTCGAGTAGCTGGTGTAGACTTAAGCTTAGTTAAGAGCTAGATCTTGTCATCGTTTTGTGCATATATCACCTTAAATTCAATAGGATTCGCATCTGTTAATCACAAATCGAATGGATGCAATCTAAGCTACTTTCTTTCCAAGAGCACAGAGCACGTTCTTTAGATTCAGATTTAGATTCTGTATACCCCTAGTGCTTGTACATATTATAAGGTGGCGCTTTCGGCGCCCAACATCTGTGATATTTAAGTTTTCTTAACTCTTTTCTATTGTACCATAGTTATCGGTCTAATTCTCTAAAACTTAAACACACACAAACAATTGTATTTATTGCTAAATGTGGAAAAAAGAGAACAAAAAGAAAAAAGAAATACAGGATCCTCACACGATTCCAATCTCAACAAAAGAAAATAAACATATTTTCCAAATAATTTTAAACTGATTGTATGAAATGGGAGGGGAGGAAATTACATTTTGGAACAAATATGAAAAAGTATGGTATGGCGTCTTTAAATTAAATAAAGAATAAATGAAAAATTAAATACATTTTCTTACCTTCATGAATAATTTTGAATTAAAGCCGAATGATTAAAATAGATTCTTGAATAGTTCTTGAACGTATGATGATTTTCTTGATGAGTAGTGTGTACTTGTGTAAATTGTTGATTGTGTGGTTGATAAGGTCTTGCGTGGTTTAAGTATTGTTCTTTTTTTATTTTAGCTATATAAGCCGATTGTCTTAAAAGTATGTAGAATGTAGATCTTCAATTAGTAATTGCAGTGAGAGGGGTTGGCCTCCTAAAACATAAGCACAGCATTAGAATCGCTTTTGATATTATAAAAAAGCAAGTTTAGAACCTACTTTCAACCGCACTCTCTGTATTTATAGTTGCTAAACTCCTAGAAAAGTGGTCAGCTCGCAGACTGATCTGGGCTTCGATTGGGGAGAGCACGCCTGCCGCACAGCCATTTCCCAGGTGTCCAGCAGGTGTGAGAGCGAATAGTTCTTAGGGAGCTTAGCCATGCGAGCGATGAGAGCTTGTTGCACCATCTGCAGGAACGGCGTGGCCGAATACTCCTGTTCCGTTAAGGAGCAGTCCGGAGCCTGCCAAGGATACTCCTCCGGCACACTAACACTCACGGGCGGAACGCTGGGCAATCGCTTGTCATCCAGACAGCAAATTAAACGGATGGCCTTGTTATTTATCTGCGATGTGGTGTCAAGTTTCACCTTAAACTTGGTATCCAGCCTTGCAATTTCACCCTGAAGCACATGGGGGACATCCTGATCGAAGGGCAAAGACTTCTCCTCCACTCGTGGTCGCTTCGCGGGCACTGGAGCTGCTATATCAGTTCCAAAGAGCAGTTCTAAGGTGGGTCTGAAGGTGCGATGCAGTGTGTGATTAGCCACAGGACTTTGCAGTGTGGTATTTATAACTTCCAATAGAGGATTCGAGGATTTCTAAGTGAATAAATTTGCTATATGTTTTGATTTTCTTTATGTAATGCATTTCATATTACTTACGCCAAACTGCTGGCCAGAATATGAGATTAGATCCATCTTTTCCAGAGCTTTTTCGCATTTAAGAAGAGTTTCAAGAGGCACGCGCTGTGTAGGATTGCAAAGAATCTCCAGCAATTTACTCATCTTGGTCATTTTCTCAACATCTATAAAAAATATCAAAGGTTTTTGTTAAATTGGTTGATTTTTGGAGTTAACTCACTTTACAAAAGCGTTTGTCTCGATTACTAATTTACTTTAATTTCACCAAAACTGCTCAATAACTGTTTCAAACTTTTAGTTTGTATTGTGTATCAACTCACTTGTGCCATCGTTGCTGATCTTGGCCAGCATCCGCTTGAGTGGCTCAATGTACTTGGTCAGCTGCTTGTACTTCTCGCGGTACAAGGCCTCCTCCTGGGGATTGAACGGACTGTTCCCGGTGACCTGACCAGGCGTGTTTATCGAGGCACTCGGCGACTGCTGGCGGATGTTGCGCTGCGGGTTCTGCATGTGCATCATCTGCGGACTGGATTGGGGCACCAGTGCCGGACTGGGTATCATATTTGGCGTGGGCATTTGCGGAGTCGGTGGCTGCTGCGTGGGCGTTTGATTGCCCACCACCAGCTGCTGTTGTTGTTGCTGCTGCTGCTGCTGTTGTTGCTGCATTTGCTGGAGCTGAGCCTGCTGCTGCTGCTGCTGCAATTGCTGGGCATCCGCTGGCGAGGGACTGGAGCGCATGAAGGCCTGTCCCGGCTGCTGTCCGCCGACTCCAACGCCGCCACGATTGCCGGCGAACATCTGACCCGCCTGGCCCATCGGCATGTTGGGCTTTTGCTGCAGATTAGGCGGCATGTTCACGCCCATGCCGCCCATGGGATTCATGCCGCCCTGCTGCACCGCATTGGGCGGTACACCCACACCCACACCTACCTGCTGCTGAACCGCCGGACCGCCGACCACATTGTGGGGAACTCCCTGCTGCATGTTCTGCGGCATTCCTTGCATGCCCTGGCCGGGCATTCCTTGGGGTCCGCCCATGCCATTGCCCTGGCCCATGCGCATCATCGGATTCATGCCTATCTTGGGGAAGAAAGTTGATATAATAGATAGAACATAACTTGAAGAGTACTCACTTACCCCCATTTGGTTCTGCTGGATCTGCTGCATGGGCGGCATCTGCTGCATGGCATTTATGGGACCGCTTTGCATTTGATTTGGCCCCTGACCAGGTGCTCCTGGAGCGGCATTTGCTCCGCCCACGGTTCCTCCAACAGCGGGTCCACTGTTCGGGCCCGGTCCCACCATCTGGTTGGGCATGCCCACGCCCACGCCCACGCCCATCTGCTGCTGCCCCGGATTGCCTACGATCTGTCCCTGATTCATCACTCCCGGGGCGTTGCCGCCCTGCATCTGCTGCTGCATCATCTGCTGCTGGGGACCGCCGCCTCCGCCGGAGTTCATGGGCATTTGGCCCCGGATATTGGGCATCGGTTGCATTTGCTGTTGCCCGGGACGCTGTTGATTCAGGGATTGTAGCAGATTGGAGGCTGTTCCCGGGCCACCGGGCACGGGGGCTCCTCCGCCGGCGCCCATGGGCATCATCTGGGGATTGCGATTGCCCTGGCTGGCCAGGTTTTGCAGGGCATTCAATGGATCTTGCATCATGTTCTGCCCCCCGCCGCCCATTTCCGCGTTTGGGGGCGGGCCGCCCTGCTGCTGCTGCTGTTGTTGTTGTTGCTGCTGCTGCTGCTGGGATTTTCGGGACATGTCCTTGTAGTGCATGAAGAGCTTGGCCACCAGGCCCAAATACTCGTCCTTGGTGCGAGACTTTCGGAAGATGTGGTTCTCCATGACGCCGGCATTTTTCGATTGATCCTGCGCGTTCGGTGGCAACAAGTCGTGGCTGCAAAAAAAACAAGACAGTAATTAAAACAGAGAATTGCCAGTTTCCGAGTGCCCTTACATCTTGGAGATGACGTTCTGCCGGAACTTCTGACTCTGCCAGTCCTCTGTCATTTTTTCAACCACTTAAAAGCCACTTTTGATAACTTTAAATTAATTTTAATGCAAATTTCTTGTGCGTTCTTGCGTTTCTTATGCTTCTTCTTCTTTTTTTTCAGGAATGGAAAATCATCGCTGGTTGTGAACTTGGATAAGACGCAGTGTGACCGTACAGACGGTGCCCTGAATGCCGGCGAAATGTTAACAACTCTGTTATTATAAATTTAACATTATGATGTTAAATGATGATATGTTAAGTACTTTTTGACTTTACTGCTAACGGTTTTTTAAACACACATATGCCATAATCTATATATTATTAATAAAATTAAAATTAACAAAGAAGTCGTTTCTGAGGAAATATATGTGATAAGTTTTAATAATCAAAAAGCTTTTTTTTTGTAAATCAAGTTATTTACGTTGTTTCTAGTTAATGTTTTACATTTATAATGAAATTTTATTGTTTTAATTAATTTTAGTGGGTACAATAAATACAATTACCATGGTTGATCAACTGGTCACTCAACAGTAATCACGACGCTGTAGCATACATTCAGGAAAAATTGTTCGTAAGTGTGATATTATTTGTTTTTCCTATTTTTGAGCAACAATTTTTATTTTCCTGGCGCGCCATTGTCGTTATTTTAAAATTTTTTAATGCAGGCATTGCCAGGCAAATGGCTTGCCAACCAAAAATGTCTTACTATCGGTTATTTTGAAGTAACGGTGAATAGTACTTGAACTCAGGCGAGTTCAATTAGCACCTCCTTGCTTGCGTTAGTTTTTAACATTTACGCTACCATTGTTTACTAGTAGCATAGAAAAAACTGCAGAGAGAGAAACATTAACGTTAATTTAGTCATAGTTAACATGAAGTTTTCAAGATGTAACTTTGAATTCCTAAATTTTAATTTAAATTGTAGATTAAAAGATAGTTTGCAATGCCAGAAAATGACAAAATAGTTAACGAAATGAGGAATTCCTCTCCCTTTAATATTTTTCACATTTTTAATGATCTGGGATAACTCATACTGTTTTTTTTTTTAAGTGTTTAGAAGAACCCCCCACCAACCACCTGTATGAACTGTCTCCCTCGCACTCTGAGAGCGAGAGAGAGCGCTGCACTCTCTCCACGGCTTTCTCTCTCACTCTCTCCCGTTGTGGCGCGTGCTGAGCGCAATTAGCACTCATACGCCGTGTGTGCTTTTACCGTTTGTCCAGTCGCTCACTCGCGTTTTTTTCTTCGAAGAGAGCGGACGTGCACGGACGCGTACGCTGGCGCATCGCATCACTACATTCCGTTCTGGCGTGTTTTTTTCTGTTTGTCGCGTTGTTATTAACTTTTGTGTTTTACTACCACTACGGAAGATTGTATAATTTCTGTTCTCCGCCGTTTACGCGCCACTTTTTTTTGCCTTTTTGCCACCTGTACAAGTGTGTGCTGGAAAAAAGATAGTTCGGGAAACAGAGCGTTTTCAATGCCGGCTTTAAAGTATGTGTTTTGCTGACGTTCCCAACCCAACTGTCATATCTAATTCGTGCTGGCGCTGTCAGAAGTAATAGTAATAACAAAAGTGGAAAGAGCAGAGCAAGAGTGCAAGCGTATACAATACATTCGGTTATTATCAGCAGATATCGCGTATACGACGCGTGTTACCTTGAAGGTAAAAACGCCAAATTTGTGCCACCTTTTCCCCCCAATAATTTATCTTTGTGTGTTTAAGTGCGTAGCCGAATATTAAGTGAATAACAGAAACAAAAACGAGCCACAGCAGCAAGCACATTAGTTGCTATTAAATTATATTGCAAGTTACAAGCTGAGGGAGAAAAAACCAAAAAAAAAACAAAATAATCAAGCGAAACAAGGCAAAAAAAAAACCCAACAAAAACAAACAATAACAGTGGCAGAGCAGACGCAGCGAAAAGAACGTTTAAGTGAGCAGCGACTGCGCCGTCGACGTCGACTGCGACTGCGACAGCGGCAGAGGGTGCAACAGCAGCAGCAACAACATCAAAAGCAGCAACTAAAGCAGCGAAAATAGCAACAAAATGTCGAAAAATTGTTGAGGTTCGTGCACAGTCAAAAATGTATTTAAACTTTTAAGTTTGACATCTGTGAATAATAAAATTGTTTACAATTTTATAAGCATTCATTCATTGTTTTAAAAGTGAGTTTAGAATAGAAAGCAGTCTTATAAATGATTTTTAAACTTATCATAAGTAATTAATTAATAATTATATAAATTTATTTTTATCAATATGAGATTCTATGTTAAAATAGGGATTTAATAAGACCCTTGTTAATATATATGTACATATATATATACCTAAGGTACAATCTTTTAAAGTTTTATATTTTATGTTATATTATGTAACAAATATCAATAAAACTAACCATTTTATTTTAGCTAGTCACCCCTTAATAGAAAATAGAACATGATCGTTTTTTTTTTTTGTTGGCGTGTACTTTTTTTGTTAATATCTGTGCAAGTGTGTCGAGTAGGTGCGAGTGTGTGTGAATACGTGGTTTATTTGCTGGTTGAGTGCATACGCTTCCCCCTCCCCACCATTCATTGCCCCCTCCCCCCGGCACTCGCACAATTTTGCTGAGTGCGGCTTACGCTGCTGGCGTCGCTGTCGACGTCGCTGCCTTTGCCGACTTGGGTGCTCTACTTTATTCTCTTCTTTGGCATTTTTGTTTTGCGGCGACGGCAACAACAAAGTCGATTACAACGACAGTCCCAAAAAGCGCCACACAGACAGGAATAATAATAAAGCTCACATAAAAAAGATTCGACGCAAATATACCCCTTGCATGTATGACAATCTAGAAGTAGGCTATACTTTTATCCCACAATAACACAAGGCGGTTAGAAATTTATGAATCAATACAAGGATTTGAATGTCCTCTTTTGTTTATTTCATCTTAAATTCTATTCGTATTTTTTATATTTTTGTATTATGTTATGTTATTTATTTATCAACTTTTTCTTATTAAAGCAAGGATCTTAAATGTTTTGCAACTATTAACAGTAATTTATTAGTTCAAAGCTATATTTTTTGTTTTTTTAAGAATAAGAATATAAATACAATTATTTATTTATGTGTGTGCTCTTTACAGATATTTTTAACTGTAATAGAATTTTGTGAAGGTGGTTGATATACTTCCACTACCCTATCTATCCAGGGTATTACATCAACAATAATAAAAGTGTGTTGACATTTCTGTTTTATTTTTTTTTGTCGATTTTTTACATACGTCTGTTTTGCTCCATACGCTATAGCAAGTGTGCGAGTGTGTGATGTCGCTGGGTGCTGGATTGTGGGGTATACGAGGGTGGTGGGCGGTGGGTGATGGGCGATGGGTGGCTCAGGGGGCGCAGTCCATGGCAGAAGCTCTAGTCGAGGGCTACGTGTTTAAATTATCAAGCCGAGCTTGTCATCGCCACACGCACGAACATCAAAACTAGTGACACACATATAGTACGAGTGTGCATGTTAACGTTCCTATGCCAGATACTATATATATATACCCGAGTATATATAGATTTCTATATATGATTGAAGTGAGCTTGCCGGCTGGCAGTTGGATCGCATCGACATTTGAATTCCGAGCTCTCTGCCGCCGGGCAATCATAGAGAATGAATGACAAGCGGCCGAGCCTATTGATTTTCAATCAATACTTTTTGTCGTGGCCACATAACGTTCAGTTATTTACATAGGTATACAGTGGGGCTCAAGCAAATAGCAGTTTAGTGTGTGTAAAGCCATGTGGTTGGGTTTATGGTAATGAAAAAGGTTACAATTCCTCCCGGTAATAACATTAAAAATGTAAAAGGTTTTAAGTCGACATTAATTCCACAAGGTTTATTTCTATAAATAAGACAACTTGACACCAAAAGTTTGGGTCGTACCCTCGGTACTCCTATAATTGCGACCGGAGTTATTTGTTTTTATACGATGACACCAAGTTTCTTTCTATCTTTCGTTTTTGTTAAAGTCGCTGGTTTCTATCTGTTCGCTGTTGTTCGATTTTCTTGAATTTGTTTTGCATTTGAATGTGGAATTGGGAATTGCTATAGCTTCTTCGGTTGCGCCCCTCGTTCTTCTTCGCTCTTTGGGTTTCTCTGGGTTTCACCTTTGGAGACATCGCATATGTAGTATGCAAAATAATCGGGAACCGAAGCCCCACTGTGACAGTACTGCCGACGTCTCTGCCAGCGTAATCGTCGCTGCTTTATACTATCATTTGATTGCGTTGCCTTTGCCTTTATGATTGCCCGTTGTTGCTGTTTGTCGCCTATTTTATTGTTGATTTTCTCTACTTTTTCCAGCTTTTGCTTTTTGCCCATTTACTGCTCGTTGTTTATTTCAGTTCTCTTTTTTAGGCTGCCCTCTCTGCACAGGAAAAAATCCTACAACATCGTTACCGATTTACATTTCAATGACTAAAATTTACTTTAAAATGTCTTGCATGGCATTTTAAAATTTGCTAAAATTCAATCATAGAATATGTTCTATAAATATTAATTATTAAATATTAACCCACTTTAAAGGGTTGTTTTCTGTGTATCACCCCCCTCTGCAATTCTTTTACCACAAGCCAGATTTGTTGTTGTCTCTGGTTTGCTTGCTTACTGAATTTACTTAATTTGTTTTTGTGGTTGATGGTTTAGCCCCATTTAAGCAACTCTCACTCCCCGAAGTTTTCTAGGGTCTATCACCTCCCGGTGGAAAGCCCTCGATGCACTTTTCCAATCATTTCGGTTGCTCGAAGGCACTGGTTTTTATTATTTGTTCCGCCTCGTCATCGAACTGAAAATGGAAAAAGGGAAATGGGAAAAGGGAAAGGGAAAAAGAAGGCAGTTGCAAACAACAAAATTTGAACGCTAATAGAAGCGTGGAGCTTTCATGTTTGCTAATGGACAGCGGCTTCATTTCCGCCCTTTTCAGGACTAAGGACCTGGATACAATCGAGCAGAGCAGGGTGTAATGTGGGAATTGGAGCTGTCACATGTCTGGTAAAAATGCTTTGACTTCGGCTGCACTAGCTATGTATAATTGGATTTATATGAATGGCATTTTGAACTAAGATAAAGTAACACAGTACAAAGAATTATAGGATATACATTCACAATTGTTTGCTTAGTTTTCGAAGTTTATAAAAATGGAATGTTCAACTAAGATATACTACAATAAAATAATACAATAATGAAAATATTTACAAATAAAATATAATAATAACTTTTTGATGAAGATTTCGAAGTTTACCCTAATATCCTATCTAATTGTTTAAATTTGGAAAAACAAATTGAAAAATGCGGTGTTTTAAGACTTGTGAAAAGGGTGCCGGTGGAGTCGCTTTTCTTTTTCCCAGCTCAATCCTTTCGCTCTATTTTCGTGCCCGTTTTCTTCTCACCACGGCAACCACTTGTTTTCCCAAGCACAACAACAACGGACACACAACTACACACCCGGAAAATTCTTATAGAGAACCCACACAACTTAGCACTCTCGCCTATTTTGTTGTCCGTCCTGTCTGCTCTTTTTCTTCCTTTTTTGTTATTTGTTATTTTCACCCCCCTTTCGAGGGGTTTTCCTCGTCGGCTTTTCCTTTTCGGCGTCTGCGTCGGCGCAGGCGTCGCTGCCGGCGGCGCAGTCAACGTCGCTGCCAATGTCAGCTTCGACGTCACATTCCTCGGCTTCAACAGCTTCAACAGATGAAAAAGTTTTTGCTGGAAAGTCGCACGCGCTGTCACGCCTCCTTCTCGTAAAAATAACTGCAGTCCTCCAAAGTTTCATAATTAAAACAAAGGCAACGCTGTGTGGGGAATCCCCTCACACACACACACACACACACACATTCGTGTGGAGAACGTGTCCTTCCCGCGTGGGTGTATATATTTGTGTATTGGTATGTTTGTGTGAGCCCGCGTTTTTTCTGTGCCCAACATATGGCAGCTTAATTCCTGGCATTTTTGGTAAGAATTTCATAAAAGCTGGCCCAAACTCTTATTTAAAATTGTTATTGGTCTACATTGGCATATTATTATACTTCTAAAGAAGTCTATTATTAATTTTCTGCCTTACAAGGTTATTTATTATACTCTTTTAAAAAGGCAGCTAACATAAATTTGTCTAAATTTTATTTAAAATAAAATCAGGTATGAGCATTATCACTCAAGACAAGATAGTGCTGAGTTAAATCAAAAAAATTATGAAGTGCCTACATCATATGACACAAAAATTTAAAGAGAAATTCTTACTCAGTAAAAAGGCCATTGATAAAATGTAGTCTAAGTTAATGAACAAATTATTAAATAGGGCGTTGTGTATAAATTTTCCAGTACATAAAACATTGATGATTTCTTTTTTTAATTATGTATGTGAAATAAATGTACTAACAATATTCATACCTTATAAACAGGCCCTTTTTTCATTCGGGATTTAAGCAATTCCATAATTTAAATAGTTTTGGATTCCGAACCGTATCCCGATAAACACACTAGTAGTTTTTATTCCGTCGGGGGGCAGCAAACTCATTAAATTCGATTGTGGTGATCTCCGATTTCGGCGTGCCCCTGGGCGTATACGCAATGCGCTCGAATTACGAAGCTTCTCGGCTTTTGCACAAAAGTACATCGGATAGGGAGCCGAACTTCTTCGATTACCATTTCCCCCTCTCGGTTCGCCGGCTCCAGTAGTGATTTGCATTGCGATCTCATTTCGATTAAAGCCGCTGCTTCCAGTCGCCGCCGACTGGCAATCGCGATCTCATTTATTCCGGATGGTCACTTCACGCCCAATTAGACTAAAAGCCCGACCCGAATCGAAACGAATCGAAACGAAACGAGAGGCAGAGGTCGATTATCCGGAGTCGACTAATGGTCGAGAGCCCGGGTCATCAATAATATTCGCCTCGGGCGAAAGTGAATTATCATAATGAATTCCGTTTCGTCACTCGCCGTGCCCGGTGTACTATACTCCGCTTTTAATTTTATTCCGTGCGCGACGTTCTTTTGTTTCAATTGTCCGTACTGTCCGTAAGCCATGTGGCTGCAGGCGGACAGCAGTTGTCCATACGGATGGAACTGTCCCTGGTCCTCCTCGCAGGTGGTCGCCAGTGGACTGTGGATGGATTTCCCACCTGGCTACTACGACCGCTTCAAAGGGAAGAAGGGTATGGCCACGGATTTCTACACTTCCGGGAAAAATGTTTGATATATTGTCAAAAATCTATTTAGGATACTATTTATTTCACTTTAGAATTGAGAATTGAAAACTAAAGTTTAAAGGATTTTTAAAGCGTTTTCTTCAAATCCACAATTTGTAGTAGTAGTATACAGACAGATTTTTCCAATACACAATTTAAATTCTTTCATATATGATGTGCCACTTCTTAAATAACACGTATACTTTATATGAAGTATTTACAGAAAAAAGCAATCTTAAGTGTGGTTTCATCCTACGCCATATCAGTTTTATTAAGTCATTAATACTTAATCTTGGCTTGAGTTTAAAGGTTGAACGCCATTTTCCAAGAGGAACCATTCTTATCGACATGCGAATTGATAATAATATTCTAGGAATTTTTGCATATTTTAATTAAAGATCTCGAATGAATTATGTGTTTCAAGCTGGTCAGTTCTGTGATGGCTTCCGTTGGAAAAACACGCCGCGTAAATGATACGCCCAAGATTTTTCTTAGTGTGCTGCTCCTGCCCGAGTTCACAGGTATTGATAATTAAGGAGCGGGGTTTCATTGCCTTCTGGCAATTATCTGCGACAATTATTGGTTTTTCCCAGTGTGTGAGTGTTTGTGGCCCACTTTGCGGTGGGCGGTGACATTGAGTGGGCGCGGAAAAGGGGTCCGATTGTTGTGCTTCCAATTGCTCTTTGCATTGTCCATCCCTTTTGCCGGAGTGTGTGTTTGTGTGTGTGTGTGTGTGGCGGGGTCAATCATTAATATTTCATGAACATTCCACATTTCCATTTCACAAAGCCGAAGCGCGCGTTTCCTTTCGGTGTCCCAGTCTGTGATGCACAGAAAGAAATAACTCTTAGTTGATCATACAACCTTTTTTAATCCCTACATGTAATAAATATTTTAACAATTTAATAAGTTTCTTTATATACACAGGTATTTAATGAGAGTTCCTATTAGGCTTGAAATTCCTAAAGCTTTTAAATATTTTTATGTATAAATATGTACTTTCATTGTTTTCTGTGCTTGGCTTTCCCTTCCACGCTGCATTTAGACATAAAAAAACCCCACTGACACACTTGCCAGGACAACGAAGGACCTGCGTGCCGTTGAAGACCACATTTAATGACCAACAAAAGCGAAATGGTCGCGGGGGCGTCGGGTGGTCTATGTTGTGGGGCTTTCCATTTTACATTTAAATGCCAGGGAATAATTGCTTTTTCCTGTTCGCGGTGTGGGGGACCTTAAACAATTGCGAATGCAATTTAAAAGTGCAGCCATGTGAATGAAAGGGGATATCCTCGAAAAAAGAGATCGGACACAAATAAATCTAAATAAAATTTAAAAGGATTTAATGTTAAAGCATATACATTTTAAGCATTTTAATTAGTTTTTGAAGGCCTTTTCCATCAGTCAAGCCATTTGCGACTATGATCACAATTAACTTACATCTCTACTCATCCTCATGGTATTTGCACTCAAGTTTCTTAGGCATCGTATTCTGACACAATATTGATTGATTAAATGACATTTGAACAATGTGTTTTTAGTAAATTAGTAAAAATTAAATATAAGAAAACAATGAGTAGTTTATGATTTCATACCTTATTATTACACTAAGCTCTTATGGCCATAAACTTTTCAATTTAAGCATCTGTTAGTTCATGGAGCTCTATTAAATGTGAACATTATTGTTCTTTAAGCAGATTACTTAAAAGTAAATATCAGAATGGTGTTTTATAATGTCAGCCCTTTACTTTTAACACTAAATTCTTAGTTTTAGTTACTAAAGGCAACCATAATATTTTTAGTTTTAGCCTATATAAGTAGTTTTCCCTCCTTACATTAAGATATATCAAATGGCAACTTTGTTTTCTCTTTGCAGCCAAGAAGATGCAAGCCGTCATGGACACGGCCGCCATGGCCATTGCCGTGGGCTCCGCCGGTTCCGGATCCGTCTCCGGCTCCAGTTCCGGTCCCGGAAGCAGCAGCAGCAGCGGGAGCAGCAGCAGCGGCTATGGCAGTGCCACGACCACGCCCACTGGCGGCGGCGGCGGTCACTTCGACAACTCGCCCACCTCGATGCCAATGGCCACAATTGCGACAGTGGCTCCCTTCTACAGCGAAGCACTGACCTCGTTGGATGCCCAGCAGCGACAGCAGCAGCAGCAGCAGCAACAGCAGAATCCCGGTCACTTTTACCACCAGAACTACGGATACGGAAATTCGCTGCCGCTGGAACCCGCCTACAACTACAGTGGAGCTCCGTACAACACGTACAGTGCGCCGACAGTGGGGCAACAGCTGTCCAACACCAGTTATCCCGTAAGTGGAAACCACCGCTATGAAAAGTTGGCTTCAAGTCCGGGCATAAAATATGGAGGAAACCCGATTGGTGGAACGGGTACGGGCATTAAGCCACAGGCCATGGCCACACCCTTTTACGCCCAGCCCCTGGGCGGTGGTGGGGCGACGGGATCCAGTGGATATATGGCTCAATCGAATGCCATGTACGATCCGTACAAGTACAAGATGCCCACCGCACAGGCTACGCCGCAATCCATGATGCCGAGCAACCAAGCAGGCGGTACGGCAATGCCTGGTCCATCGGCGGGTCAGCTGTACGGCCATGGCATGTCCCTTAATCCCGCCGTGGCCCAGAAACCGACGACGCAAATGACGCAGCAGCAGCCGCAGCTCACCCAGTTGGAGACGAACTATGCGGCCATTAAGCCCAACAGAAGCTACCAGGGAATGACGACGACGGGTGCGGTTTACGGCGGCACTGGTGGTGGCGGTGGTGGTGGGAACGCCAGTGGAGTGGTCAATAATCCGACGTCAGCGCAATATTACGACAAGTACGGCATGGCCATGTCCATGTATTCGCCAAACGGAGGACTGCCAGCCATGTACGGACAGACGGATCTGGGACCCGACACCGCAGGACTGCAATCCTACCGGAAGTCCACGAACAACTGTCACTGGGGCGTGGACTACAATGCGCCCAACTACAGATCTCTGCCGCCGGCGACGGTGGCCAACAGTTCGTACCATCACCCCCATCCAGGAGGTCCAGTAGGTCCAGTAGGTCCTGTGGGTCCAGTAGGTCCGGGACCTGGTCCCAATCCCGGAACCCTCAACAGTGATCTATACTACGGCTCAACGAAGTACGACAAGTACGGAAGTACCTATGCCAGCAATCCGTACGCGGGTCCTTCGATTTCGCAGTCCTATGCCGGGAGAAACTTGTGGTCGGGTACGGAGAATGCGCCGGCCAATGGTCGCCAGAATTGTTGCTCCCAGGGATACGCCTTGAACCAGCAAAGCTGTTTCTACCCAAGGGGTAATGGCTATGGATCGATGTCGGGACCTTATGGAACGGCAGCCAATGCCCCGCAATCACAGCCGCAATATCCTGGAACCGGATCCGCCGCCGCCGCCGCCACTGCCATGAAGCTGAAGCATCCAACGGACATGTACTATGAAGCCGGGCCCAGTCAACTGGGCTATGGATACAATCCACAAGGATCCGGCACATCGAATAACATGAACAGCCAACGATATACGGCTCCCTTGGGCCTAGGAATGGGTGGCATGGGCATGGGCATGGGCCTGGGAATGGGTGGCATGGGCATGGGCATGGGCATGGATCCCGGCAGCGGGGGCTACTACAACGACCTGAGTCTCAACAGCCTGGACAACTATGTGGCACCATCGATGCCACAGCAGTCGCTGCGAACGCAACCCTATCAGGATTATCGCAAGAGATCGGCCATGTCCGTGGGTTCCGCCTCCACGGGAAGCTGTTACGTGGGACAAACGGGAATCGGAGGTGGAGGAGGAGGTGGAGGAGGAGGTGGAGGACCGCTCACCAATCTCGATGCTCAAGTGGAAAACTATGTGGGATTTAATCTGCATGCCACGGCACCCGCCACCCTGAACTATGCGGTGGAATCTGGCAAAGTTACGCAGAACTACAACATTCGGGACTTTCTGTCCACCTGGAAGGTGGACGATGAGGATGAAGCCAGTGCTGTGCTGGAGATGGATCCTCCGGCTGTGGCAGTGGTGGCGCCCGTGCTCCCCAACCCAACCGCCAACTTTATGTACGAATCTCTGCCGCCGACAGGACCGCAGGCCACAGCTGTCGTGGATCATCAGGGCATCAATTTGCCCGACATCATCATAGACATTGAAAAGGCCAGTGGAAGTGGAGGGGTTGGTGTGCCCGTGGACGACTCCTTTGCCAGCTTCGATGTGGAGAAGGAGCTGGACGAACTGCGGCTCAAGACCAGTGCCTCTGAGCCGCATCCTGTCACTGAAAGCGATGCTCTGGCGGAGATTCTTCGACAACCCGTGGTCACCGCTCCCCTCATGGTGGAACAACCCCCGGCTCTGCCATTGCCCAGTCCCATTCTCAACAGCAGTGAGGTCTTTGCCAGTGTGTCCCAACCGCCGGTGGCCATGGACTTTGACCAGAACAACAGCTCGAACTCGAACGAATCCACCTTTGCCAAGGAGTACGAGACCTTTATTCACAAGATCGAGGATTCCGAAAGTGAGACAGAGGACACAACCGAGTACCGAGAGAACCCCAAGAGGTTTAAATTCTACAAGAGAAAGCGAAGGACCACGGAGCACGAAGAGCCGAGCTACGAAGTGAAAAAAGTGGAAGATGTCGGCAACCCAAGTCACAACGTCATCTCCCTGTCGCCGAAAGCTTCGGCCAGAGCCAGTCAGAAGCTGCTGGCCAAAAAGCGGCGTAATCGCATTCAGATGCTGAAGATCCTGGAATTCGAGAGCCCGAAAATCAAGTATCGTCACTACTTCAGGGTCCTCAAAGTGCTGCGAAAGAGAACCGCCTCCAGTGGAACCAGAAAACTCCGAGCCATTCTAATGAGGAAACAGTTGACAAGGTTGAAGGAGAATCGACTGCCGCTGATCAAGAGGCTGATGAAGAAGTACGTTGCTGGGCCAAAACTTCGTTGTCCACCCAGTCTCAAGGGTTTGAGTGTCTCGGCCTTGAATTCCTCCGCATTCAGAAGCTGTTTGCTGAGTGGAACAGATCGGGAGACGGTCATCAAGAGTGGCCATGACTATAAAGACAAGACTGAAGAGCTTCATGGAGGGCTGAGTATAGAGGAGCAGGGCCTGGACACCAAATCCCTAGAGCTGCAGTCCAACTTTAAGGGGTTCGATGACATTGAAAACACCAATATGTCGCCAAAAATTAATTTAAGAGTAGAGGAGGAGGAGGAAGTGAAGAGCACCATGGAGAACCCAGTCCAGAATGTTGTCCCAAAGGAAGAGCAAATACAAGCCTGGCTAAAGAGTAGTGTGGTTCCCATAGCAGAAGAACTAGACGCATCCAAGCCAGTGGCTAGTGTAGCAGTGCTATCATCCTCCTCGTCTTCTTCGAGCTCGAGTTCCAGCAGCTCCAGTTCCGACGACGACTCCAGCAGTACGAGCAGCCGAGAGGAGGATGAGGATGAAGCCTCGTCCAGCAGCAGCAGTTCCAGTAGCTCCAGTTCCCAGAGCTCGACGGTCGGAGAGGAAAGCGACTTCAACGAACTGGCTGCCCTGGAGAAGGAGCTGTCCCAATCACAAAGCGAAGAACCCAAACGAGAACATTCTCCACTGGAGACGATGATGACCCAAGGAGAGACCCCCGAGGAATCGCCACAAGAAGTGGAGGTCTCCAACCACGATATTGCCAAACTGAAGCAGATCCTGGAGAGCGATGGCGAGGAGATCGTGAACAGCTCCCGGTTCGCCAGCGTACCAAAGCTAAGTGACCTTAGTAAGATTGCCTTAAATAGTTCCTTAAAAGCAAGAGAGTTAGTTGTAAGAGAGGAATCCAAAACTCCGGATGAAAGTGGTCCAGCTCCCCGGGAATTGAGCGTGGAGGAGGCGTTGGCGGAGATGTATCAACAAGTGGGCGTGGCCTCTGATCCCGAGGATTTCGACGGCAAGGATGATGGCGATGATGATGATGATGCGGAACCGAATGACAATGGTCAGGATGTCCTGCTCATCAGCCTGGCCGAAATCTTCGATTCCAGCAGTGATCTCTATGTGGTCCAGTGCGACATGAACGAGAACATCCTGGGAGTGGTGGCCAACGAGGATCAGGAGATCGAGGGAGAGCCCAACCAGGTCAATCTCGTCCAGGTGAGTCCCGAGCAGGTGGAGCAAGTCAACACCCTGCAGCTCATCCAGTTACTGGCCGAACCGCAGCCCGAATTCGATGCCACACCATTGATACACCACGAGGAGGTAATCCGGGACGAAAGGCCCGATCCCCAGAAGGATCGGCGGCAGTTCCTCAAGTATCTGCACGAGAAGTATGTCCAGAGTCGGATCAGTCGCTTCTACCACGCCCATCGAGTCCTGCGGAAGTACAAGCGCCAGCGGGCAGGCAAGAAACGCCCACGGAGGGTCAAATAGGACTCCGGCTTCAACCAAAGATATTTCTGGTCCCTGGATAGGATCAGATGTGTTCGGCTTGTCTGAATACACAATGCCTGATTGGATACCAACTGAAAGATACACCACACACACCCACACACACACACACACACGTAGATACACCACAAAAAATCTTTAGATACGGATACAAATGCAGCTACTCTTTACCAGAATCTCAAGACTTTTTTTTAATATTTTTCGATTTACATTAGGAAACGGAATATAGCATAATAATAACTGCAGTCGTTGTTTTAGGGAAATCATTATTTTTAAACTTTTACGATACCTTTTTTACATGTAATTATATAGAGTATGGTATATAAATATATATATATATATATATTTTAGATATCTGTGCAATATTTACATGGAAAATGTCGTGTTTATCTAAAATGCACGAATTCGAATCTCGATGGGTTAAGCGTGAGTAAGCAGCGTTAGACGAGGGTTAATCGGGGAGTTTTGGGGTTTCGGTCCGAGTCGCGTGCAATTAACCAGATATATACATATTTTATCGGCTAATGTATCAGCGTTTTAGTCGCTCAGCGAGTCGGGCCATTTTAAAATGCTGTTTTGCCAAAGGTCAAGCCCAGATTGAGATACACATTCGCAGTCCGACATATGCGTGTTAGCCTCGGCATTAGTTGAGGGCTTAGATCCCCGCCATCCCCTGTAGCTTACATTTTGTATTGCCACCAAATGCAGCCTAGACCAAAAAGTGAAAAGAAACTAAATAAATCTGTTGGAATTGTTTGATCTGTTAGTAGCCGAAGATGAAGAAGACTTTGTTTGTTTTTAGTGCAATTATTTGTTAGGTTCCTAGAGCATTTTGTTGTTTGTCTTAGGGTTAAGGGGAGTCACAGGACTCGTAGGCTTTCACCCCACACATCTGAATATAGAACCCATATTCCTTTATCGACCAGTAAGCCGAAGAAGGTTTAGTTTCACAGGGCCCCCATCCCTAATTGAAACCTTGTACAGTCTGCGATTTGCAGGGCATAACCAATCCGGACAACTAATCAAATTTGGTATGGGGACCTTAAAGCATTCTCAACGCACGACTTAAGAAAAATGCGAAGGCGGAAAACAATTCAAGGGCACCGACTTCGGAGCTGGTCTATAGTCTTAGATTCCCAGCCAACTTGTACACTAAAATAATGTTATCTTAGCTTATACTCGAGACCACCACCTAGATGTCATTTTTCTCTCGTAACACATTCCAAAGGACCAAACTTTTAAAAACTAATAAATATCTAATATCTAATGTCTAGCTAAGCTTCTATATGTACGTTCTTTCGTTTGTAACATTTCTAAACTAAGTAATACGCTTAATTGTAGTACAAATAAAGTGCAAGAGCTAGCCCACTAAATGGAGTTATAATGTTTAGCAGTAACAATAATATTTATTGCGCAATATGTACATACCCTTCTCACTTCACATTCCACAGTGGGTATACATGAGTATGCCTCTAGCTCTATTCATGTATATCGAAAGGTTTTCACTGTACCTTAGCGTTAAGATTCGTGACTAGATCAATGTGAGTGTCTTTGAGCAAACCAAACAAAAGAAATGATATACGAAATCCTAAAAGTGAAATAAATGTTTTATGTAAATGTTAATCGATGGGTATTGCTTTTAATGATCTTAAAATGGTTAGGCGCTATAATGCCTTTTCCCAAGTAAGTAATTAGGGATCTTTTCTATGGAAACTGTTTTATATGTAGCAGAAGTTCATCGAGTTTTATAAAATAAAAAAGGATCGCTTTGGTTTGTAAAACGACGAAGCTATAGTTTTTTTATTTTATGTTCCGATTGGAATAGAGAAAACTTTTGGGAATATATTGCAAACTGAGACTCATATATATGGAGAATCGATACTAACAAAAATGTTTAATTTAAAACCTTAAAGACAATCTTAAAGCCAACTTGTTTGCTATTTTACAGAAATATTGCAATTTATTTTGTAGAATTAAAAAAGAACAGCACAGTTCACAAATCTAGAATTTGCAGGCTAAAAGTAAAAAACCAACTTTTGGGGGCTAGTTGGCGGCCAGTCGCCAGTCCGCCGCAACGTTCCATGTCCTCCGTATTATCATCGTGTGACCAACTATATATAGTTGATCACCAGCTTTGGTATCGTTACTTGGCTCTCCTTCCTAAGAGCTCTTTGGTCTCTGTCCATCAACCGATCTCTCTGTTCCGCTTTCGATCGATCACCGAAGTATCCAGTTTTGATCACTCGAAGTAGCGCTTCTTGAGGTCCGGCGGATAGGTCACGTAGATGTAGTGCTCATTCTGACCCATGGCCGCCTCCTGCTGCACAATCTCGTGCGTGGAGGCGGAGGCACGAAGGGATTGCTGCGAGGAGCCCACATGGCGATGCCTCGTCTCCAGCGGCCGCGGATGCGTGTTGTAGTGCCGTTGGGTGTCGCCAGGTGCCCCTGCCACTTGTACCGATACCGATCCCGATCCTGGTCCTGATCCAGCCACCATATTGGGGCGCGAGGAGCTACTTGTATAGTCGCGTTGGTCTAAAATGTCCTGTGGGTAAGCCAGGCTCGTCGAGTGACGATGTTGCAGGTGGGGAGGATGTTGCTGCACCCGATGGTGCAACGGCGTGTTGGCGTTGGAGGAGCTGCTGCGAACGGCCCCTTGGGTGGGTGTGCCCACTGGACGCTGATCGGCGATGTAGTGCCGCGGGCTGTGGCGATGGTACTGCACCTGCTCCGGATACAATTGCTGTTGTTGCTGTTGCTGCAGATGTTGCTGTTGCTGCTGGTAGTAGTACTGCTGCTCCTGGAGCAACTGCTGCTGCTGCTGCTGTTGCTGACCAGCTATCACGCCGGCGTCCAGGTCGAGGTCGTGCCGCGTGGCATAGTCCACATGGTAGTGATGCCCCGCTACTGCTCCTGGCATGTAGATGCTCCCGCCGCCGGCGATGGCCCCCTGGCCGTAGTAGTGGTTCGCGCTGATTGTCGTCTCTTCGGAGCTGAAACAGATGACTTCGGTTCGCTCAATCTCAATGGAAGGAAGGACCAGTAGAGGTCAGGACACACTTACTCGAACAGGATCCAGATGATGTAGTAGCAGAAGCAGATCCCGGTGGACAGCACGAAGATCAGGATCACAATAAGTCCCCAGGGGAAGGCACGCGGCTCCAAGGGACCATCCTCCCAGTAGCGATCGCAGGTCAAGTACCAGCACACCGCCTTGTTCATCTCCTCTGTGGAAAGGATGGAGTTTTTTTATTTAATTTTCTTATAGATTCTTAGTGAAGATGATAATCCAAATCAAAATTGACTCTTTCTTTCTACCTAATACACACCTTCCATCTCCTTGAAAGCCTGATCCGACATGGACAGAAGCAATCCACCAATGCAGCTCCTCAGCAGCATCTCGCAGCGGCTTTTCAGCTTGCTCAGCTCTTCCGGCTTGCAGTTGGCCCTGGCCTTATTCCCGTTTCCATTGGCACCCGATCCCTCCTCTGTTTTGGCCTCGTCAGCGGACTGGCCACTGCCCTCGGACCGTCCACTGCTCTCCTCGTCCTCCTCCTCGTCCGTCTCGTTCTGCCGACTGGACTCCGGGTCCGCCGAGGACTTTAGGTGAGCCTTGCCCAGCTCCTTGAGCTTGTGCAGCAGCTTCTCGCCCGCCGATCTCGGCCTCGCCGCCGATCCGTCCTCCGGCGATGGTGATGGATCTAGGCGAAGCGGATTGGCTGTGGTGGAGTCGCGCTCTCGGTGATGAAGGTGGCGGGGATGGATTCGCTCACCTGCCGGCGACTGATCCTGCTTGCTGGCCTGACTTGGCTTGTCTTGGATTAATTGACGGCTTTGTACTTTGGCGGCACGCGAGGCACCCAGTGTGGAAGTTCTAATCGCACAAAATGATGGTATTAAATATTTGAAATATATATAAATCTAGAATAGCAGGACCCACCTTGGTATTAAGCTCAAGTAGGCGGCATTTGCTTTGGCCAACGCTGAATTCTGGCCCAGGGAGTCGCCCCAGACCTCGATTTCCGTGACAATGTGCTGGTCCCCAAACTTGAGGCTCGACGCATCCTCCGTTTCGAACACCTCGCACCGCATAATGTCGCAGAAGTCGGCCAGGCAAACGGCATCCTCCGCCTTATAAAATTAAATGCAAATGCAGTTACCCATATTATAATCTGGTTCTTATAAAATCATAACAGTTACAGATGTTAAATATTACCTATTTGTAGTTTTTCATTTATAAAAAAAATTAACAAATGGTTTTGTTAAATATGTATTAAAATTATAAAAATAATTAATATGGCTGTAACATTTTAAGATATTTATATAAGCCTTATATAAGCCCAAGACGGTTTATTTAAATAAAGTATTACCTTTATAGTGTTTATTTTAAACAACCCATTATTACATCTAACTCAAAATAAATTAATATTATATTCCCTTAAATAAGTTATAATTTAGCTTTTTAGTTTAAACACCCAAAAGTTAGACTATAGTTGAACGGTGAACGGGTGTGATGGAACAAAAAGATATGCACATAACTTGGTACTTTTGATAAGTTCAAAATCAATATTGTCAAACTCAATTAAAAATTCTGAAAATGTAAGAGCCAAAAATGGGATACAAATCTTACAAAAAATGTTACCTCATTGATGATGCTCTTGTGGCGTGTTTCGAAATGCAGATCCAGGTGCTTCTCCTGGTAGAAGCTCTTGCCACATTTCCTGCACGTCCACTGAGTGGGTCGATCCCTCTGCTTGGCATCCTGTCGGGGGGCGAAAACGTCCCGGAACGGATGCAGTGGGCACTCCAGCGGCAGCTTCACCTGATTAGATTAGATTAGATTAGATTAGATTAGATTGGATAAGTGAAAATCATCGCCTTGGAAGGGAACTTGCAGATATTCGACTCACTTGATGCTTGTCCAAAATGGGGGTCCATTTGGAGCGCACTATCTTCCGCACCAGTCGACTGTTATCTCGCGAGCAAAGGATTCTGATCACATTTGTGGGCGGCCATGGTATCAGCAGCAGAAAGTAGACCAGTGCAATCTGGAAAGGTTTTTGTACATTGAGGTCGTTTTTATTTGGTATGAAACCGGGATGGATGAACTTGCGGAGCACGCAACTTTGCCGGCTGACCCCAAAACCACCCTTCCTTTCCTTTTTAGGTCACTTAAAGTTGAAGGGAAACCCCGCAGAAAATCGATAGCGAAAAAAGGAGAATGCAAGGGGTGGGTGCGGGCAGTTTCTGTTTCTTCGCGGAACACGGAATCCCTGGGAATGTGAACTGTGAAATGGGCCCAAGAGGAGCCAGCAACTCACCTCAAAATTATGATATTTAGGCGACATTCATACTATGTATTTGTGGTCGCTTTTGTTTTTGGTGTCTTCTTTTCGGGGCCGCAGGTGCAAGTTATTCCTTTAAACGTATCTCCTCTTAAGGTACTATTTTTTTTTTGCGGGGAAATCGTTTATAAGACAGTACAATGTAAAAAGTTGACAATTTTTTCAGTGATTGGCTTTTCAGTTTCGGCTGGTGCTATCTGTAAAATAAAAAATAAAAGCCTGATTGAACTTGTCCTACGTCCGCACTGGTGAAAATTTGTACGCTCTCTGAACGCGAAATAGCCACTTCCTGTGCCGCTCTCTCGCTCTTTTACTCTCTTTTTAGACCGTTGTCCTGCGCCAGTTATCGACAGCTGACCCAATGCAGTATTCGTAAAATTTATCGATTGCTTCGGTTAAATTAACAGTTAAGTATTTCTTATGTATAAATGTAAGCTGTTATTAAATTAAATTCCAAAAAGTATTTATAATTTAAATCGTTTTTTATTTTGTGGTGGTTGGTTTTTGTGTTGCAATTCCCTTATGTCAGCAGGAACTGCCTGTAGTGTTTCAGTTTCCCGCTCATTATCTTTTACTATTTTACAAAATTCTAAACTAAAATTAAATTGTTTTTATCGCACAACTTTTTTGAACAAAGTCATCTCTTGATTTGGGGGCGTCTTTTCTAGATCGAAACTGCCCAGCTAGACATTTAAATACTAGAGTACAGCCGGCGAGCGCTTTTTTGGGAGTGGGGCATTTGTGATTCACAGTCCATTGTAGATGCGATTGATGGAGGATTGGTCGAGTATTTTCTTGAGCGCTAAAATAAAGAAAATAAAAGATTAGTAGGAGTCTTAAACATACATACACTTTATAAGCTTTAAAATAAGTTTGTTAAGGCAAATTTAGAATTTACAAACTTTTTAAATGAAATTTCAGTGCAAACTGACAAATATCATATTGTAAAAGTAAAGTAAAGTAGTTTTAAATACAAAATGTACTTGTGGTTTTTGGGATCTTTGTACAAAATATTCATTAGACACCCACCTTCCTTGTCCTCTTCCGTGAGATCCTTCTTGGGGAACTCCACGTCGAAGGTGATGTACAGGTTGCCGGTGAGGTTATTGTTCTCGAAGTTGGGCATGCCCTCGCCCTTCTTGCGAATCCTGGCGCCCGGCCACGTGACCTTCTCCCTGGTGACGGGCACCAGGTGACCATCGAGATGCTTGATCTCCATGGAGAAGCCGACGAGGGCGTCCTGCAGGCTGATGGTCACGTTGGTGTACAGATCATCGTCCTTGCGCAGGAATCGTGGATGCGGCATCTGCTGCACCTTGACGATGAGATCTCCGGGCTCGCCATCGATGTGAGGCTCTCCCTCGGCCACGAATCTCGTCTCCTGGCCATCCACCATGCCCTGCTCCACCTCCACCTCCAGGGTGCGCTCCTCGTTCACGAGCTTCACATTGGGGCACTCGTCGCACACGGTTTGCTGGATCATCTGGAAGCGACCGGGGCCCAGATTCCGCGTGACCATCTCCTGGCGGCAATTGCATTTCCTGGTGCCAGAGGCGGGTTTCGTTACGGGCTTGTTGCGGACAATCTCCACAAAGTTGCCGGAGTAGAGCTCCTCCAGGGAAACGTACAGGCTCATCACGATGTCCGCCCCCCGTGGAGTGTCCTGCTGCTGGGGATCCCCGTTGCCAAAGTGGAAACCAAAGTCGCCGAAGAAGCTGGAGAACGGATCACCGCCGTGATCCATCATGCCCTCCTTTTTCAGGCACTCCTCGCCGCAACGATCGTAGGTTTTCCGCTTGTCCGGATTGGAGAGCACCTCGTAGGCAGCGCCCAGGTCCTGGAACTTCTCGGAGGCATCCGGATCGTCCTTGTTCTTATCCGGATGCAATTCCTTGGCCAAACGGCGATACGCCTTCTTCACCTCGTTCGTGTTGGCGTTTTTTCTCACGTTCAGTATCTTGTAGAAATCCCGGCCGGCGAAGGCCTCCTCCACCAGCAAAAGGGCCAGCTGAACCACTACCAAGCACTTGATGAGCTGCATTTTGTCTTTGATCCTGTTTGTCTCAGCAATTCATTCTAATTTCCGGGAATACAAAATATTAAATGCTGGCAAAAATGTAAAAAATGTTGTAGTTGTTGCCGCTGGCTGCTTCGTTTGTATGTGTGCGTCGTGGTCTGCGCTGATTGGCCAGTGCCGGGTGTGCCAGTGTTTATTAACGTTTCCCAACACTAACAGCTGACTGCAACTAACAGTCCCGCTTACAGTGCCCTAACATTATACCGTAATTCATCTGGTCACACTGGCCAAAAGCGAAGCATAATAACGAAAATAAATTGTTTAATCCAATTAAACCAGGCAAACTTTAAGTTGCCAGCTTGTCTGACGTTGTTTTGGACCGTCTGCCAACACGCAAGTGCCTTTATTTTTAGTTAGCCGCCGGTTTTCAGCGCATTTACAAAGTCGCCTACGCCTGAGTTCCGAAGTAAAAAGTAATTGAATTTCAATAATCCTCTTTAATTATCAGAATATAACGGTAGTTCGTTTACTTTAAGCTATTTAATAGGACACCACGAAATCGGCATTCCTCAAGAAACAATAATATTTCCGCAATTTTGCATATTTAACGTCAAGGCCAAGGCTACAATATCTGGAGCCAAAACACAACTGCAACTGTGTGCGAGATAAAAAGGTGAGTAATTCATCACTTAACAAATGCAGCCGGTAATAAGTGTAATAATACGTGATCATTAGCAGTATGCATAATCCCCAACCGATGATGTCAACACATTTCAGCTTGAGTTAGTCAAAGATCAAAGTTTTGAGTTCAGAAAATAGAAACATTTCATAAAGATTTGCATTGATCTCTCTTAGTGTATAGTAGAACCGCCTAACTAGACAACTTTCTAAATTATTTTTTTAAATTATTCAAAAAAAAACTTGGGAATAAATAAATATATAAATATATTTATATTTGGATTAGATTGTTTTTAAAAGGCTTTGAATCTTTTGCTATTTTTTCTAAAGGATAATGTAACTTTCAACATGGAATAAAGTTGTTGAAATTTTAAGAACACTTAAACTATATTTTTAAAACTCTTATATAGTTTGAGTCACTGAATGTTCTAGCTCCGGAAGTTTTACTGTAGTTTCAGACCCCCTTTTTGCGCATTATCAGCCATTGAACAAAGACGACTTTATAGTATAGAGCCCAATAATCCGACAAAAACAAGACTGACTCAGTCAACAAAAAAAAAACAAAGGAGAAAACAGTGAACTAAAAATGCAATACGATATGCACTCGACTCTGATAAAAAGAGGCCCCGTTTCTATTACATTCCTATAACATTGATGGAGGGTCTTAACCAATATTTTAAATAAGTACATAAACAGTAGAGCTGATCTGACCCAACACATGTTAAGCGGCTTATCAAACGCGTCATTATCGTTCAGCTGCTTATCTTATCAGTGCCATAAATAGGAACCCCTTGTGTGCGTTGGCATGCACCAATGATCTTGGCCAATCACAAACAACAAACCACACATGAAATGGCAAAGAAATGCCGGAATTTCCAAGATAGGGATATTGAATACTTATCTTACATTTTAAGCTGTCGATCATTTTCCCATAATTTCATTCATTAAACAATATTATACAACCCTATATGCAAGATCTGTAAGTTGAAAGAAAGCGGGCATTATCCGATGAAAAAAATCTTAAACTTCAACTGCGTTATCTTTTAAGCTGGAAATATCCAGTTATGCAAACTTTTTAGAAGTCAATTTCTAATATTAACAATTTAAAATAGTTTTTTGCATATTCTGTTTATCGATCTTTGGTCAATTTAGCAATAAAAGTTTTGCTGAAAGGTTACCCAGTTCTAAACTTTTTGGCATAAAACTGATCTCAAAAAATGTATCTCTTAATTTTCTTTTTTTTTTAACTTTTTAACTAAGATCCATTTTTTATTAATAACGAACGTTTTTTTTTTTGCAATGTCCACTCTTTGAACTTTCTATCAGGCAAACATTCCAGATTAGCGAAATCCAAAGATTAGTTACTAAACGAGTAGTAAACATCGAGTGGTTTCATTTAAAGCCCCCAAGAAGCCCGCTGGCTGTCAGTTTCGCCCTGCACGGGGACGCCTGCGGTTGTGATTAGTTCACCAGTGTCCCGTCTGGAGTATTTTCGATCCTTTTCAGTTGGGAATTGGTAAGTTTAGGTCGACTCAACAGTGGCAAGTGCTTGTTAACTGGGGAGATCTGCGGATGTCTGCACTTGAAGTTGGCTATGGCTTGAGTGGACTGTCCCCTAATCTTCTGCCGATGTTAGAGCCACTGCAACGGACGTATACGTCTCATTAAAGTATAGATGGACTTAATCGCTGATGGTTATCGAATACTTAAGCAGGAACAAAACAGTGATAAGCCGGGTGGCTTATTATTATTATTAGCAGCTCTGCTGGGTGCCAGAATGGTTGGAACCGGGAACGGGCGCATAAAAATTCCCCGATTAGCCGCGATACGGTTTATGGACCTTGATAATGCAAACGAAAATAACCCACGAACTCTGCTCCATTTCCAGATGCAACGCAGTGCGTGAGTCCGTGAATCCTCAAAATCCTATATACCACCATGTGCTGCAAGTGCTGCGGGGAAACTCAACGAAAGGTCTGGGTATTCGGCCTGGGATCGCTTTTCCTGGTGCTGGGAATACTTACCGTGGTCTTCTGGCCCGGTATTGCAGATAATCTCGTGGAGGATGTAAGTATATTTAAATTGAAATTGAAATAAAACAAAAGAAGACCAAAGTTGAGGTTTTAAAGGTATCAAACCAAAAAAATACATTTTTTTGTCTAACCATTTCGTTTGTTCCCAATCCAAAGTCATATATTAAACCATAAAGCTATTAGGCTTGATTATACCAGTTAACTTGTCAGGAATGTGTTATTTATATAGTAGATGAATGTAATGAACTTTTCAAGTAATGTCATAATTCATAAGGAATTGTCAATATTATCTGTAATAAACAACGTGTTGTTTTAATTTACTTCAGGGATTTGATGATATATAAATTATGTACATCAAAAATTCTAACAAATTAATAAATAAGAATAGATAAAAGTCAAATTTAATTACATAGACTTACAGTACTATATATATATATATATCATCTTACCAAAAGATTTTTGCTTGGCTTATAATTAAAATTGTATTAATGTAGATACCAAAATATTATAAGCTAATAAAAGACTTTTTTTCTGAGAGTTTTATTTTTTCACAAGAAATATTAAAACATTTTCTTCTCTTTTATTAGGGCCTTACCCTGAAGCCTGGCACCGATGCCTACGATAGCTGGCTGGAGGCACCTATTCCCATTTACCTGAGCTTCTACATGTTCAACTGGACGAATCCCGAGGAGATAAGGAACCCGAACGTAAAGCCAAACTTCGTGGAGATGGGTCCGTACACCTTCTTGGAGAAGCACAAGAAGGAGAACTACACCTTCTTCGACAATGCGACAGTGGCTTATTATGAGCGACGCACGTGGTTCTTCGACCCGGAGAGATCTAATGGCACCCTGGACGATATGGTGACGGCTGCCCATGCCATCACGGCAACGGTGGCGGATGAGATGCGAAACCAGCGCAAGATCGTCAAGAAGATCATCAACTTTATGCTGAACCACGAGGGCGGCGAGTTGTACGTGACCAAGCCGGTGGGCGAGTGGGTCTTCGACGGATATCAGGACAACATTACCGATTTCCTGAATATGTTCAACACCTCCATGATTGACATTCCCTACAAGCGCTTCGGCTGGCTGGCTGATCGAAATGAATCGCTGACCTACGATGGCTTGTTCACCATTCACACGGGCACGGATGATATATCCAATTTGGGAAGACTCACCCACTGGAATGGCAAAAATGAGACTGGTTTCTATGCGAAACCTTGCGGCGTGGTAAACGGAACCACCGGTGACTTGTTCCCGCCCAAGATGAATGTGAAGGATGAGATAACGATTTTTGCCACCGATGCTTGCCGATATTTAAACCTCAGACCGCGGGGCAGCTATGAGAACCATGGCCTGACTGCCACGAAATGGGTGGGCACTGAGGAGACCCTCGACTCCGGGGAGAACTACCCGAACCAGGCCTGCTTCTGTGATCCCGAGCGGTTCGACGAGTGCCCCAAAACGGGTGTGGTCGAGTGCAAGGCCTGCCGCGACAAGGCGCCCATCTACTCCTCCTTCCCGCACTTCTACCTGGCCGATCAGTCGTATGTCGATGCTGTCACCGGTATGAAACCGGATAAGGACAAGCACGAGTTCTTCCTGGCCGTGGAGCCCATCACTGGTGTGCCTGTTCAGGTGCACGGCCGCATCCAGATAAACATGATGATTGAGCCCGACGACGACTTCGAGTGAGTACAAAATATCGATTCATGTTATGCCTAAAGGCATTTGCCAACACAATTTGTTAAACAACATGCACTCTTGTTACAAATATCAGTGTAAAGTCGAGAAAAAGATAATTTGCATTTGGATTAGCGACTGGTCTTATCAAATATTGTCCAATACCAAAAGGAATCAAACAATTTGAAATTCTCAAACCAAATTTCCTTTTGCAGCATCTATCGAGGTGTCCCAAAGGTGCTGATGCCCATGTTCTGGTTCGATCAATACGCGGAGCTCTCCTCCGAGCTGGCCTCCAAGGCCAAGGTGAGTCCTACTCCCCATTTTTGAAGTCCAGACCATTTCAACGTCACGTTCTCCGTTTCAGTTGGCCATCAATCTGTCTAGCTATGGGATTATATTCGGATATTCTTTAATAGCCGTTGCCAGCGTCTTCCTAATCACTGGCATTACTTTGACAGTAACGAAGAAGTGGGTGCGACGAACCCCCGAGGACGAGGATATGCTTACTAACTAGAACAAGGAGTAAAGTTAACTTCTAGATAATTTTTATAGTCGCGAATTGCTTGTTGGTCGTTGCCAGTTACGCGTTATGTAATATGTAAGTGATACGGATCGGCGTTCGTCTTGCAGATTGTGATAGCAAACCCTAATCTTAACTTAACCAAATCTTACTCTACCTGCAATATTATATTGCCATTCACAAATCATTTCCAAGCCGATACTTTCCGTTTGAGAAATTACTGATTTTACTTGATAAAACTTACTCATACAAAGCTAAAACACTCTTTAAATTTTATTTTACGTTTTCCATTTGAATTTTTATTTTATTTTGCAAAGATAATTTTTACAAATTTTTTATGTTTTACTCAAGGACTTTTTACTTATCGTATACGATTGTTGGATGAGTCAACGATTTGCTTTATAAATGCATTAATTGAATGTTGTTGTTTTGTAAATCAATAAATTAAAATAAGTGTATATGTATATATATTTATATATATATATATATATATATATATATATATATATATTTGTGTATATGTAAGATATATGGCAAAAATTTTACATTTTCTCAAAGATCACATTCCTCAATTTAGCCATAGACTTTTAGTCGAGAAAAATCTACGCAAATATTTGTGACATCCATCAAAAACTTGAAATCATTTTTGCACGCACACTCACACATCCAAAAAAATAGTTAGGGGTTAATAATTGAACAAAAAATAAACAATCAAAGTGGATAATAAAAATAAATCATAATCATCGCGCTTACTACTAAGGTGGGATGGAGGGCAAGTCTAGGCACTCTTGAAATTCTTTAGTTCCTTTCGTCCAGCGATCAAATCGAGCAAAACCGATTCAAACCGTTTCAAAACCGATCCGATTTGAACGTTTTCCACTCGGTCCGTTCGTTGGCCCGATTCGTTGTGAGTATGTGTGTTTTATGTGTGAGGAGCGATTGCTACGTACTAAAAAATTTGCATAGTTTTATGTTGCGTTGTTCTTGCTGACTAAAATAGTTGTAAATTTAGTGTAAGTTTAAATAAAAATCAATCACAGTTGTTTGGGCGGAAGTAGTTAGTGTTAAGTATTCGCTTTTCTGGCCTAACTAAGTATTTGCAGCTAAGACTAAAGTTCTACGATGTAGTTTAGTTAATTAGAAGTGGTCGTATTTTATACTTGAGTATTGTTGCTTCCCATTTTGTTCTACTCTCTCTCTATTACCGATGATGGTGTGTCATTGTGGCTTGTGCTGTGGCTTCGTTACCAATTCCCTTATGTGACTAGACTGGGTTCTGATTATTTGAATGCGTATTTGAGGTTTAGTTCCTGACGTCCCGTCTCTGTAGTTGGTGCAAAACTGGCTTCTGTTACTTTAGGCCTACGTCATGTGGTTAAAATATTAACTGTGTTTGTTAAGTTGTTTCAGCGGATCTAAGTTCTTTGTTTTCTGTATTATTCATCTGAATTCAGTGTTAGATAAACTTCAAAAGATGGAATGCTTAAGAATTCGCGAATATAAATTGTTTGTCCACTGTTAGGTGTATTCTTCTAAGGCTTATATTGCTTAAGAATTCGCGCATAGGCTTTGGTTTTGTCCACCGTTAGGAGTACTCTGCCAAAGCTCCAAAAATAGTGTTTTCATTTGACATCTGGCTTTTGTTAGTTAAATGCATGTTAGTTCCTGTTAAGATGTTACTGTTTCTGCTGCTCTGTCACCTGATCTTTCCCCTTTGTGCCCAGCGAATTTCTACCCTTCGAAACACTGTGATCAAACATATAAACCCTTGACACTTCTCGCTCTATGCAAATTTCCGAACGCAGAAAAGCTCTCTACACATGGGCACACAAATACGTCGGCACTTCGAACAGCAATCGAACTAGAGAGAAGAGTGTCGTCTTGTCCATTTCCGTTTCCGGTTTCCGGTTCCCGTTCCCGTTTAGCATTACGAGTCTAGCTGGTCTTGTGGTGCTGCTGCTGTTGTTGCTTCATCATGACGGCGGGATCGATCACGTAGTTGTTGGCCTCCGCCAACTGTTGCACAGGCAAAGGTGGCAGCTTGTCCTGCGGATGACGGTGGCTTACGGTTGATCCCTTTCTGGCCTTGCTCAGGGTTCCGCCTCCCGAGGAATTGGAGCCCCCATTGAGGGTGGCTCCCGAAGGCTGCGATCCGGAGGACGGCATCGGTATCTCCTGTCCCGTCTTCGGATTCACCATCACCTTGGTCTGTTTCAGCAAGGAGCGATCGTTGCAGAGCGCCGAGATCAGCGGCAGATCCAAATGCTTGCTCTTCTCCCGCAGCAGAGCAATGTCCAGGGCTTGGGCCTGAGCCTGGGCCTGGGACTCGGCTGCCATCGAGGCCTGCAGCTGCGCCAATATGCTGTTGTTGCCCCGGTTCAATCCCAGGCCAAGACCCAAATCCGGTCGCGGACGCTCACCTGCCCACTGGGCGCCACTGGAGGTCTTCGTTAGCGGAAGGTTGGCGTGGTGAGGATTCAACGTGGGCGGTTTGCGGGGCGGCAGCAGGCTCATCATGCTGGAACTGGGCTTCGACGGTACTGAAAAGTGGAGAGAAAAGTACAGTGTAAGTTGTGGATCATAAAACAAGAAGTAGTCGAGAACCCAGTCTATTATATACCCTACCCCCAGAAATCATTCGAGATTAAGGTTGCGTCATCTGCCAAGCTGCAGCACCACTAATTTTTAGATATCCATTAACTGACATTTAAGCTTATAACTTCTAAAGTACTGGCTCCATTTGGAAAATGTTTGTGTGTTTCCATACCATGTCTCAGAGTGACATAGCTGAGTGTCTTAAGTAGAATCTGCATGTTAAATCTTATTTCTCTGACTATCATAGTTTCCAAGATCTCGATGTTCAAAGGAACGGACAGAGAGACAAACGGACAGAAATACGGACATGGCCTAATCAACCAGCTATTGACACTGATCAAGGAAACGCTTTTCTCTGCCTGTTACTTTTCAACCAATACATTGTGCAACTTATATATATTTATAATAGGTTACTCACTTGGAGGTGGCTTTTCACTGGGCGCCGGCATGGGTGGTTTCTTCAGTCGCCTGTTCACATAGGGCGGTGGTGGTGGCGGGGGCAGCCGCTTTGCCTTGGGCATCGAATCGAGCGAGTTCAGAATATTATCGTCTGATCGCGATCGGGCAAACATCGCCGAAGAGGAGGAGGATTGGGCAGCGGCTGCGGCCAGAGCCGCCGGATGGAGGGGCGGCGGTGGCGGTGGCTCGTAGGAGGAGCACAGGCTGGCCATCGAGGGCGAGTAGAGGGGCGAGTAGCCCGCTCCCGGCAGCTGGACATACGTGTCCGACAGATTCTGGGTGGAGGCATATCGCGAGTGGGCCGACAGAGCCAGCGGAAGATAGGGGGTGCTCCTGTAGATGGCCGGCGACACCTGCATGGCCAGGTACGGATGGTGCGGCGGCGGTGGTGCCGCCTGGGCCATGGCCGCCAGCAGGGAGCCCTGCTTGGCATCCAGATACTCTTGCTGGCTAACCGCCGGATCCTGAATGGGATAGATGACGTAGTCCACATCGCTGTAGAGCTGCTGCTGGTAGAGCTCCAGCTGCTTCCGGGCCAGCTCTCTCCCGTACAGATGGCCCGCCAGATGCGGATGGCTGGGCGGCGGCGGCGGTGGTGGCTGCCGGGGCAAACTGGGCGGCGGCGGTGGCAGAAACTGACGCGGCTTGATCACCGGCAGCAGCACACACGACTGCTGATGGTGCAACGAAGCCGTGCTCTTGTGCAGGCCGTAAGGAACTATGGGTATCCCAATGGCAGCCGATCCGGAGTGTCGGTGGTGCGCTGCCGGCAAATGATGGTGGTGCAGTGAGGCCTGCGAGCTGCCCGCATAGTTGGAGTTGTGCAGCGACTGCTGGCTCAACTGATGGCTGCACACCGACCCGTTGGAGGAGGCCACCGAGGAGCAGTGATGCGGGGCCGCATAGCTGGGCTTGGCTCCGTCGGGCAGCAGGCTGGTGTGGGCCTTCAGGATGCTGATCTGTGGCCTGGTGGTTATGAACCTGGCCGTCACCTCCTCGGACTTCAGGGAGCTCATCGAGCCCGCCGCACTGGGCGCAGGATTGGCCGACGAGCTCACCGATATCAGGGATGTGGGTCTGGGCTTGGAGCTGGCATATGGCGGCGGATCTCTTCTGCGCAGAGCCGCTGCTGGTGGTGCCGGAATGGACGGTGCTGGTGGCACTGGGGGACTGCAGGGTGGCGTGTCCGGCTTGGGAGCCACCACAGCCATGGGCACTGGGCACTTGGCGATCGGCGGGCCACAGAGACCCGTCTTCTCGTGCCTGGCACTGTAGGGCGGCGGCGGAGCTGGTGGCAACTCCTGCTCAGCATGATCCACATCCTCGCCTCCTTGACTGCCCATGGGCAGGGTGACGTAGTCACAGTCCGAGTGCAGGTTGCTGGAAACCGTTTTCCGGCTGGGGTAGGTACCCCGGCCCACAATCAGGTCGGTCAGCTCTTCGGCGGAGAGCAGGGAATGCTTGTTGTCCGTGGGATCACTGCCATCGCCTCTGAAGGAACTCCCCGTACTGACGTTGGAATCGGATCGCAGCCTGAACTCCTCTGGCTTCTTTACATCTTCCGAATCGGAATGTGGCACATGGTTGTCCTCGAGTTTCTGCGGCTGAAACATTCCGTAGTGAGAGCTCTTCTCCGACTCAGCCATCTCCGAGGATTGTCCGGTTAACTCACTGCTGTGCATGGTGTACACTCCCGACGTTTCGGTGGGCGTGGCTCCGTGGGCTAGGGTATACACGCCAGATGCCCCGGACACGCTCTCCATTTCCTCTCTCACCGATGTGGAGAGAAAGTCCTCGGGATTCGCGTCGCTTAGGGCGGAGTTTTGAGCGGTGTGACTAAAGCCCAGCTCCAGACTGGAGGAAGTGGAGTGCACGGGAATGGGGGCGCCTGATAGGGAAGAACCTGCACCGCCAGGCGAGGTCACCACCACAGTGCTGCAGGTGGAGGAGCACTGGGAGCCAATGTTGTGCTGCGAGCTGGGTGAATCTGTGGCCGTCGAGGAATCATTGGCCGTGGCACCCATGGAGTTTCTCTGCGCCGAGGAGTTCGTTATGGGTGGGGTCCCATTGGAACTCGCATCCGCTGGCCTCACACTCAGCGCGGCCAGTTGTTCTTCCAGATCCTTCAGCGACATCTGACCCACACTCGAGGTTTGCCTGCTCACACTGGGTCTGTCCAGCAGATGGGCCAAGGCCAGACTTTCCG